CTAACTCCTGCCAGAGAATATTTTTACTTGCAGTGTATCAATACCTCGAGTTCAAACATTTCTAATCCTAGGGAGTTTGCGAAGGCAAAGCTGTTTTACTAAGTTTTAAAACCAGATCAGATTAGAGCATCTCCAGGTTAAAACTCTCATCCAAAGTTGGCTACAGTTTATCAGAGGAAAGGCTGTGCTCATGAGTGATAGCCAAGCAGTCTCTCTGGTCCATTGCTGGAATAATTGCTAGATTATTGCAGGATCTGCTTAAATTTGAGTGTGTGCAAACTACCATATCAGCTTGAATGTTCAGTGAGCAGCTTGCCTCACAACTCCTTTAGAGCAGATTTCTCCCTGGAAAAAAAAAAATTAAATACCAGCATATAAAAAAATCTAATTCTTTCAACAGCAGTAGAAAAAAAGTGAGCAGAAATTACAATATTTGGACTTGAGTACCTGGATATGGTTTATATCTTCTCTTACCACAGTCTGTGTTTCAGAGTGAAAAAACCAAAGTATAAGTAGAATAAGCAATCTCTGCTTAGAAGTTTGCCTAAAATCTTACTGCAAGAATCTTTTGCAAAATTAATTCTATTAATTTACGACGTAAGTCCTCGCACTATTTTAATCCTAGATCTGAGGAGAAAGAAAATAATTTGTGTAACAGCACTTCAATACATTTCCTCTGAGAACCTGAAAAAATTTGGTGTTATGTCAGGAATTCTAACCTCATTGCAGAACATTTACAGCCTCCAAAAGTTATTAGGAATATCCAATATCAGAAGGTCAAATGGAGCTTTTTATCAGGATCAGAACTTGTGATCAGATGTTCAGTGATTTATCAAGAAATTCAGCCACAATCCACATGACAAGCTCGATTAAATAAAGCACAGAGTCTTGTGTATATTCCAAAGCCTGGAAAGTGTAATATTCTTCAGACACTCAATCTCACAGTCTCTCCTTTATGAGTATGTGCCAGCACAGTTAGATAAATGTGATTCCACATGCCATATAGAAGTCTTATTTCTGAAACAAAGGTGCCACAATAACCTTGGTTATTTATCACTGCATGAACCTGTAAAATAATCTCTCAAAGTGTTTCTTTGTCTCAGCTATTTCATCTTATCTCCAAGATTGAAAGAAGATATATCTTTAAATTATTTTCTTGGTACAGAACAGGAAAGAGCAGAATCCTGTCCCGTGTCATTACTTTATGCATTCCTTTGCCTTGTAGGAAATATCACTGCACACAGGAAAGAATTTTTTGCATTGTAATATCCAAAAGTATGGCAGTGGTGCCTGACAAACACAGTCACCATGTCCTTTGCTCTCTTCATTGCTTTTCTATTAATAATTCTTATCTACAAATGTTACAGACTATCAAATCCTCATTTCTAAAAGATAATAAAAAATTCAAGCAAGGAGATAGTGATCTACACTCAGGTTCATGTTAGGACAGAATTAACAATAGGAGAGACTGGGAATAAAACTTCCTTGAAGACTGATACAGCATGGAAAAAGTTAGCTAAAACCCAGGATCTTACAGAATATCATAATGCTCCAGTGCCTTGTCATTACTACTGACCCTACAACAATGCTATTATTACTATTAAAGGCATTAACATACTGCTAAATAGGACTAAAATATTCTGTAACATGCAGTGATATCCACAAAATGAATTAATGCCGTTACTACAGAAATCTCCTTAATTCTCTTCATGGAATAAAATTACTCTTTTAATACCCACAGGAAAAAGAAGTTGTCAGGTCCACAATTTAACTCATTTAAAAGTGATAACACACATTAGCCTAAACTACACTCCTGTCTTGGATATAGCTGGGACAAGTGCATTATTGGTCAGGGATGTTGCTTATTAGAATAAGGGGTTTCTTCTCCCCATCCCAGGGCCCCTGTTTATGTAGGAAGGGATACTTCACCCTCGGGGTCTTGTGTAACCTATGAGGTGCTATTCTCCACCTCAGAATTTGTCTTATTAGCTTAAATCACAAAATAAGAAAGGCTGAGCACTGAATATAATACTATGCCAATTCAAACAGACTTTGCATGGCAAATTCAGGCTTTCTAATAACGTTGTCTGTGGCATGATTTATATTGCACTATCAGCATCTTTGATTCTTCCTCTGCAGTCACCCTCCCTGACACCTTACCTGAATAGAAAATGAAATACCTTCCACACCATGTGGGTGTCATTTATTTTATAACTACAATTCCTCTATTTCTGTATTTCACGCATTACAATGTTGCAATTTCTGTTTCAAAATGACCCAGATAAGTGTTGGAAAAGGTTGACAGAAAAACAAAAAGAAAAACTCTCCCAACATCTCTATTGAAACTATACCTACTGAAACTCAAGGAATGTTTTACAGCAGTTCCTGTAGGAAAGCAACAAGGGATAAACTTATCTAGACTTCATTAATTTATTAATTTCTGCTCCTGAATTATTTCAAATTAGAAAGATATGAAGAGTTGCCATCATGATTCTTTTATTTTTTAGAAGACTAGGAAAATAAGCCATACAAAAGCCTAGAGGTGAAAGATGAATCAATCCAAAGAAAAGTCCATTAACAAGTTTGCTGGCATTTAAAATAAAACAGAACAAAAACCTATTAGTTACTTTAGCTTTGTACTATGCTTCTTAATTTTGATTTAAAGAATTTCTACATCATCTGATCTCTTGACATTTCAGGAATTTAAAGGAAAATATCTAGTAACACAATAAATATATCTACCCATGTGTGTACATAATAGATTTAGTGAAAACAATGTAGCGTTCATCTCTACTTTCGTCTTTCATTTCTATTGCATCTCCATAGCTGCAGATCTCTATGGAAGTTCTGCTTGTTTTGATTCATCCAGTTCTCCTGCATAGTAAGGTTTATGAGACTCATGACTTTGAACTCTCCAATCAAAAATCTGGAGGAAAACAATCAACTTTTAATTTCTTCCCAAGCTATGAAACAGGACTACAAAGCAAGGCAAATCAGGGGCCTGGGGAATCCATCTATCATTCAGGGCAATCGTGAGCTATTTTTCCTCTTATAACAGCAGTGTACAGGGTGTAGAATGAGGGAATTGTTTAATGATACAGCTTGCCTATTTTATTAAAATATTTATATAATGATGAAAGGAACAAAAAATAATTTGGTAATTGAAAACTGTGAACTACTAAGCTTACACAAACTTCTTGCTGAAGAGCATTTCCACTACAGGTGACAGGCAAAAAAGAACAGATGTAGTCAACCCTATTGCAACTCAGCAATTAAAATATAGGTGCCTGAAAGAGGTATCTCAATCCATCAAGTCATCTGCAAATCCTACACTGCAGCATTTCTTTTCCATGGGCTGGTAAAATACCATTAGGACTGACATATTGAAACCTACAGTTCAATATATTCTTGTACAGTTAAAGGCATGTAATTAGTATACAGAATTACCCACTAGCAGGCATCAATAGATACTTAAATAATTTCTCTTCTGCCTTGATACACCCATTTAGAGATACAAAAGCTTATTCTTAATAAAAAAGAGAATGACTATCATATCTCCCCACAACAATAAGCAACATTAAAGGCTTTGATTTGATTTGTGAGTCAAACTTTGCAAACTATGCTACCAACAAAGCTCACAAATACATTACATTAGAAGAAACTGGGACTTTTCAGTAAATAACCCGTAAAGCTCTGACCCACCTAGATGTGTTAATCAATTACATCCAAGTTACCAATAACACAAGGTCTCTGACTGATTTGCATCAGTGGGGAGAGTCTCCTAAAGAAAGATTCCCTTAAACAGAGACTCTCTTGAGAGACACCACATGTCTCTGAAACAAAGACTCACAGAATGATGACACGAGGTTTTGAACATAAAATTTCACCTTGTTCCTAAACCTCTGGTCAGGGTTCCTACTTAGCCTAATGCTTCTTATTGACCACACAGTTTTATTGAAATTATGTAGCTTGAGGCTACTAACAATCCTACAATAAATACAGGATATACAATGAATAATTATAAATATCATTAAAAGGGACAAAGATGATAAAAATATTCAACGCAATTGCAGTACTGTAGAAATTATAAATTATAAAAGGTCTTAATTTAGTACTGGATTGAGTCTGACCTATCTAGGTTTACAATATTAAAACACACAGGTGATACATTAATGATTAATATGCTTCTGTCTTTTGCTCTCATAACAGTTTTAGATGCACGAGAGTCGCAGAATTGCATATTTTGAGTTTTATGAGAAGAACTATCTTTCAAAGATACTTTTATATTTAAAATATAGTCAAAGTCTTACAAAGTATCAAATTCAGCAGCAAGAGGTAGAACTGGCTACATTCTTTTGGTTTAAGAGCATAACATGTAGAACAAGGAGGACATAATGGGAGATTGAGAGTAGAGCAAGGAAAGCAGAACTCCCGAAGACCATTCCTAGTCTCAGTACCGTGTTGTGTGCCTGTAAGAAACCTCTCAAGTGAGTGCTGAAATAGTGTATTTTTCTGAACAACAGCTTTGGGTTTAGTTTTGCAGAGCAAGACCAAAATTATTTGTAATAAAAATCAACCAGGAAAGGAATTCTGAGATCATCCCATCTATATAGATGTTAGTATATATTTAATTTAGTCAGTGCTTTATAGTCATTTTAGTAACTGCTTATTCCAAGTATACTTCTAACAGTACAAACCAAGACTGCCTTAAGCCTGTTGTATCTTTCCTTCAAGCATGGCCTTACAATAGTCTCAGCCTTGGGAATTCAGATGCAGTAAATCTAACCATCTACAGCAACAAAAAACAGGAACTTGGGACTGTCATAGAACTGCTCTCCTGTTAAAAAAAAAACAACCAAACCAACAAACAAACCCACAAAAATGTTGAAAACAAACTCTGATACTTTCCCACAAAGCTTCTTTGATTTTTCCAAGACACAAACATCTCTTTGTATGCACCTGCATCAAACAGCCAAGTGACCTCATTTTTTTTCACTCACCTCCTGAAACCACCAGTTATGGTAACTAAAGCATCTGGGAGAAATGTACACACAGTATTCTTGACAATCAAGCTCACTGCATCTGCTTCTGCCTTAGACACACAGCTAACAAGGTCCTCATAGTAGAGAAACCCTGGAAATCAAAAGAGAAAAGTGCTGATCACTCCACAGAATACTAAAATTTACACACCATTATTCAAGGCCCAAATCACAGATGGTGTGGGTACAAGGGATCACAGGCCAGAGACAGCCTCTTTCTTACCTCATCTTTGTCCTTAGAGTTTATATATATTTTTGTCATTACAATTTGTCATGTAATTTGTCAACACAGCAACGACAACAATTCTCCACTTTCTTAGGACCTGAATATTTATAAATTACTCTAACTTCCCTATCAGCTCCCATCAATGGCATTTTTGTATGAACTGTTTCAATAGGCTGTCTTTCCAAAATAATGGTGTTCTACACAAATATAGAGCCCAGAAGTATGTGAAATATCCCAGCTATCTTATTTCTGATCACAGAGCTTGGGTTGAAAGTACCCAGTATGGCAGCTTGCTTCACATTTCAATACGACATGTAAAATAAAGAGGGACAAAAGAGCACAAATACAAGAAATCTGATCCAAGGGAGCCTGAGGTGACAAATTTAATGCAAAATAAAGTTACATTATTTTAATGTCATATTATAGAATATGTTTTCCTTAATGTAACTAATTTCTTTGTTTAAATTAGTTCATTTATTTAGGGAAACAGTGTGAACACACAAAATCTGCAGGGAAGAAACATTATTCATGTGACCACATTTAACATTTTAAAGCTAAGATGTGCTAGGATTGTAGAAAAATTTTATAACTACTTTATTACAAGTCTACATTTATCAGTAAATTAGGGCTGCCTTGAGGGGGACAGATCTCCTCTGAAAAGTAGTTCTGGGCTTTCCCAGTTTTGTAATTTTTTCACAACCTGTGCAATAATGAACCATTAATAGTTTTGTGTATAAGAGATTTCATTTGGTATCTGTGCAAGCAATTTAAAAATATGCATATTCCTATGTTTTGAATGACACCATTTTTAATTAGGAGCTCAGCTGTTCCAAATATTTTCACCTAATAATTCAGTATTCACAAGACTGCAGCAAGAGAACAAATGTATAAGTGAGCTTTGCCTTCCCCTGTGACTCTGTTATCAAGTTCTTAGAGTACTGAGATACAAGTTTTTATGACACTCTCACCTTACCTGCTTTCTGCATTTTTGACAGCTTCAGGGTCTTGTCAGCTTTTATCTCTTCCACAGTTCGCAGACCCATTCTGTACCATTTCTCAGATGTCTTCACTCCCACTCCAAAGACTGAAGTAAATTGCTAAGGTCAGTAGAAAAACATTTCAGTGTTTTCTAAAGCAGCAGTGAATTAATAATAAGTAGCAACAACAAGGTTCCTCAGGCAAAGCAATGGGCAGAGTTAAGCCTACACTGAAGACAAATAGTGTGATACAAACCTATAGGCTTCCCTTCTTTGCATGACTACATTCAACAGAACTGTTTTTTTACATGGACAGTTCTCATTAACATGACATCCAAACAAAAATACAGCAGTAGTCCCAGCACCTTTATGTAATTTACTAAAATGTACACTTTTAACTGAGGTTTGAAATAAGTTTTTTTTTTTTTACTCCATTTCTTAATAGAAATCAAACAGTGACAGTAGGTAACTCGATTCCCTGACACTGATGGGATAGAACGAGAGATGTCACAACTTTATATTCAGAATTTGACTGACATTATGGCTGTATGCACTACCAGCTCTCAAAACAAAAAAAAGGCAAAAAAAAACCCCAACCAACCAAACAAGAACCAAACAAAAAAAAGGCAAAAAAAGCAAAAAACCAAAATAAACAAAAAAACCCCACCCCAAAATAAAAACCAAAAACCCACACATCCCCAAACAAACCAAAAAACTGACACACAAAAAACAACCTAAAACACCCCAAAATCTAACAGTCCACCGGAAATTTTTGTGTGGCCATATTCCATCTATTACAAAGTAATGTTGTTCATTAAGTTATTACCCACAAAAGGATGTAAATCAGAAGCATGATTCACTGGGTTGCTATCTCACATGAACACTGATATGAAAGAGGAGGGAACACTTTCATGTTTGCCTAAAATCATGTTCTTTATGTTCAGTTTGTCAATATTGTAGCTCTCCACCTTGCATTGTACTTCTATGGAATTCAATGAGCAGCTGTGTAAGACATTAATAACTACTCTTTTCCATTGAATCTACAACCTCTGAATCCCAAACATCCTAGCTTTATTTTGTGGTTTTGTGAATATATTCATTCCTTTGAAAAAATTAAGATTTTAAAGTGAAAAATTAAAATAATTGATAATATTAAATAGGAATTGCCCTACATTTTGTATATAATGTGTGAAATTACCTACTCTTTGTCTGAATCATGGGTGCTTATAAGAGGATATAATTTTTTAAATACTTTGATTGTTATCTCAATGTTTTTGCTAGTGATGAAATATTTTCAAAAGCATCTATTACTGGGTTATAAATTATTCTAGGAGACTTAATTAACACTGAGACAAAGAACTAAAGAAAAAGGATTCTATGCACCCAAAGCTTTAGGGGAAAAAACAAAATTGTGTTTTTTTCTTTCTGTACTTAGATCCATTGTTATTTAGCATGTTTTTAGATGCTAGATATGCTGCCAGCAGTGCAGCACAAGTAACAGGGAGCCCATTTCTTTTCAGCTGGTGAAACCAATTACACAGACTCACTCTTTGCGGCACTCACTTCTGTAAGAAAGCAAACTGACCTTGTCAGTTCATGTCCCTACATCTAAAACATTGACTATAACTTAATTCAGTCATTTGATAACCGTGGCCCTGGGGCCAGCAGTGATCTTTCAAGCCAATGATAAGTGAAGCAGCAGGTACTAGGACTATGCTAAACAGGAAAATCTAAGAATTCGCTAATATGAGATTCTTCAAAAATCAGTGGAAACAACTGGTTACAACTAATTTAGACAAAATGTGGAGATGTATGCTCAGCTAAGAAGTGGAGCCACCTAAGTTTGTTGCAATTTTGCATGTGAAACAAGGTATAAAGCATATTTGAGACAATTTGTCTCCTAATAGGTTTTTTTCTAATCTCCAAGAGATTTTCTTAAACCCTGAAGATTTAATAGCTGTTCCTCAATCATGCTGTAATGCAATCGTGCATTAATAAGCAAGACTGCTTCTTGAATCCTGCTGTACATGTGAATTTACACCTCTTTTTGAATATCACTAGAGATGGCATCAACAGCTGTCACTGAACACCCTTCCATTGTAGGTCAGAGAGAATGGAAGAGCCCTTGGATAGCTGAAGCAAAAGTGAGTTATGACAGGGAAATTAAACAATCCTTACTCTGTTTTAATTTTTCTGAAGACCGAGGGTAGCTATAGAGATCAAAAATGCAGATAAAATTTTTAAAAATGTTTGTTCATCTTGGATGCTTCCAATGGAGACTTCAATAAATATTTCAGTAATGGGAACTGCAGTATTTATGTGGTTTAGATTCCCTGCAACTATGAAGTTGTGTGCATAAGGCTCTATAATGTGCCTAAGGAAGAAACAGCTCCAGTCCTCCTGCCTCATACACAAAAGAGAATTACAATAGATCTGAGTCATCTTCTTCATCTGGTATTTTCTTAATTCCAGAATAAAATGAAGTAATTTTAGAAGTATAAACAGATGCAGCAAAAATGAAACCAACATCACAGTAATTTGCATTACATCACTTAACAGCAACTATGTATACATCACATTAATTAAAAATAGAAAGATATTTCACATTATTCCTTGTCACTGTTTCTCAATATCCCTTTCTTTTTATTCAAGACCTATCCTTCTTTGTACTTCATATTGGTTTTCCCTTTATAATAACATTGATCCCTACTAAAGGGAGGGAAATTTTTAACAGCACCAACAAAACTCAAAGGATTTACCTTAAATGCCTGGTATCGCTCATCATTTAACACTTCTTTAACTCTAGAACTCTCTCCTTCCTCAATAATCTCCTAAACAAAGAAAAATATTACTTGTAAAAAAAATTAAAAATCCATTTTAAGATCTTATTACAATTATAAGATTTAGTGAAATAATCTAAAATCAAGTTTTATCAATATTTATTAATCAATAAAAGAACCCCTAGCAAGCATATTGTTTTATTCCCTTAGGATCAAATTCTGCAACCCTTCTAAAGAAAGAAAATTGCTGAAGGATGAAGGAGAAACTGGAACCACAGAATGAATTTCACAGTCCTTATCTACTCATAAATTTACTCAAGGATGAAGTAGAAACTGGGACCATGGAATATATTTCACAGTACTTATTTGCTCATAAAGTCACAGCCAGAAAGCAGTTATTTATCACAAGCTATCAATGACTTGTCCTGAAAATTAGATTTCATTATTTGGTTATGTTTTCTACTCTCAAAAGTAAGACCATTGTAAGAACAAATACAGTTTTTTTTCTGGAGTGTACATTTCTTTTAGTCTTTCTGATAAAAATTAAAAATAAAACTAACAAAGAAAACCACCAATAGCACCCCAACAAACCATCCTATTTTTTGTGGGATCACGATTGCAATCCCAGCCCCCACACAGCAGGTACTAAAAGCACTTCAGAGGGTGCATTCTTAACTGGGGGAATGGGGAAATGAGGAGCCAGAGCAAAGCAGAGCACTCAGCAATGACCCCTGAGCAGCTCCTGCTGGAACAGCAGCACTCGGAGATGTGGGTCCTGAAAAGGCTAAGAACTAAAGAAAAATGCAGGGAATACTCCAATTTCCAGTAGGAATGTAGAGTTCATCCATCACCAGGCTAAAAGGCTCTCCTATAACTATATATAACTTGCTATAACCTAGCAAGGTAAGATTTAGCATTAAAGTACTAAAATATTTACCACTTCCACAAAAAATATATTTCTAATAAAGCATTCAGGTGAGTGAAGTGATGCTGCCAAGGGCAGAAGTCACATGAACAAAACTATTAACAGTTTAACTGTTGCATCCAAATCAGAGTGAGCCCTTAGAAATTACATGCAAAGCTGATACTGCTTTATTTATTCCCTTGTATTTATTCACTTGTTACCCTCATTCCTAAGAGTGGGGGTTCCATGACAGAGCCTTGTGTTATGACAAAAGGTTTCAAAAAATAGTTTCATTCTTGGAAGCATAGCTAACACACTGTATTACAGGAAATGCAGAAGGTTTGTACACACACATAGATGTACCAGTGCTCCTCTCCATGACCTGGAAATGCTGACCTGTAAAAGAATCCATTGGCAGATAATTCAGAAGTACATTACCTCCATGATATCTCTGACTTGGTCTCCCATGCAGGGCAACCCTTGTATATCTTTCATTCTGGTTACTGAAAATGGAAGAGATTTCAGCAAAGAAGCTGCCCTTAAAAATTCCAGGCAGAATATTTCATTTTCTTTGAATTCATAATTCTCAGCCATTACCTCAAAGGCATCCTGGGACAGGAGGAGGTAGAGGGAAAAAATAAAGTTAAAGTTTAATAAAAGCTTAAAATGCTCCTTAGAAAGATTACTTTGTATGCTAATTCAAGAATTACTCCTTTTCACTACATAGAAAAGATAGAGTTCATTAAAAAAAAAGCAGACCAATTTTCTACCAACTTGAAGTTTTCCAGGTCTCATAAAAATAGTATTTTAGAGCCAAGCTTGAAAACCTTTTGTGAGGTTTGCCTTCTGTATTCTATGTGGATCTTATAAATCTGCATCAAATAGAGCCTTAATTTTTAGAATTATGCCCAACCATAAGTAATCCAGCATGTAACATCTGCATTTTCAATCACAACCAAATAGGAATCTGTGGCAGTACTGGAAACCACCTTCATTCTTTTTGAATATGTAGCCATGCTTCTACTTGGTAATTTAGGGAACAAATTCTCCTTTTCTTCATTTTTCAGATGTATAACTTTGCAAATAGAAACACATTTTCTTTATGGCTCTTTATGGTTTGGTTTATTTAACATTGCACTCAAAAATACCTGAGGAATATCCATATAGTTGTTTTTTTCCTAAATGATCCATATGAGGCCTATCTCCCTTCGAGAATATATTTAAAAATATTTATATTAATAGCAGAGAATTTTAGAATTAAAGCAGGGAACAGACCACAGTGGTGTAAAGGAATTTTGTTGCTGTTTGCCACTGTAGAGTCTCAGCTTTTGAGAGGAAACCAATGCTGCAAAACCATTTTCTTGATTAGAGTGCACAAAAAGTCCTGGGATGTTTTTTCTCACTCCCAAAAGGCAGCTTCTCACATGCACATCTGAAGTGTTCTACACTGAATAATCAGCCTTAGTGATAATTGTGTCTGCATATCCCAGCAGCAGCCCCGCTGCACAGAGGTGTCAGCCCCTTCCCCCTGCCAGAGGGGCGGCTCTCAGAAAAGCTGTGTCACCAGCACGACTGAAAAACACAATCACATGAAGCATTTCACTCAGAGGCTGTTGATAGGCAGGGAGAAAATATAATCAAAGCATTTTTATGATTCTAGCTTACATTTTTCAGTGTTTTCCTGCCTTTGTGAAGCTCATTAAGCTGTTTAAAATGAACAATTAAAGAGTATTGAATATTCATTATTCTCTGTGCAAAAAAAACACACTGCCTGCAAATGCTGCAACTAATTACAGGTGTCTTTTAACATAAAACTGCTTTTAACATTCTTTTTTTAATAAAACATTTCTTTACTAAAAAAAGCAACTGGACTTGTCTATTAAACAGTATAGCTCATATTGAGTAATATTCTAGAGGGGAAAAGCATACAAAAATCTAATATTATTTAATAAAAATCTACAATCTAATAGATCTCTGGTGAAGTGAACTTATGGTGATATAAAAAGGAAAGTTATTGACCATTTATTCTAAACTATTATATGTCTTACATGAAGCACCTTACCTTCACTTGATCAATCAGATCAATATTCAGATTACCTGTTTAAAAAGTACCAGTTTAAAAGGAAACTAAATTTCCAGAGATTTCCAGCACATGAGAATTTCATTATCTTCAGAGTACTCTGCAGGGTCTGCTCTAATTAAATATGCAACAGAGCTGGGCTACATTTCAGTTCTTTGGTTATTGAAAATTTTACTTCTGTCTCTGAAATTGTGGAATGTTTGTTGGTGAGACTTGGACTAGGCAAAAATGTGGGGTTTAAATGCACTTCCAGATTCCAGTGGATCAGATCCAAGACCCACTAAGATTTTGCTGAATTGTGTTAAAAATAAGAAAGGTGACAGATGTACACAGGAATTCTGATTCTCATTTAATATCTGGTATTTAAGAACTAATAAGATAAAATATCATTAATTTCATCATCAAAGTTACCTGTAATCATCTTATATATGCAAAATATGCAAACTCAAATACTATAAATACTAAAAATCACTCCTGTGAAACCAACAAAAAGTGCAAGGTTCTCAAATAATATATGAGAATGATTCTCAGAAAAAAATAATCAGTTAGACCATGCTACTTTCTGTCTGCTGAACAGCTGACCCAATAACATTCAGCCTGATTATCAGAGTACAAGTCATGCAGAAAAGCAAAACAAATTAATGGTCCAATGTGCTATTTCATACTATTCTCAACAACAATGTCAGATCTGGTCCATTGCTACTTGCAAAACAGTCTTTAATAAACTCAGTTTAAGACTCTGCTAGAACAGAAATTATAAATATTACACAAAAAACTCCCATATTTTAAATCTAATCTGTTTTGTAAAGAATTTAGTACAGCTTCATGGAGAGGGCACTTGTCTTACAGTTATGCCTACACTCACAACTTTGCTGCCAGCTTGGAAAACTGCTCCACACCTCCCTGCCATTGTTTCTCTACCATTCACTCTCTATTAGGACTGTGAACACTCCAGGGCTTGCATGCTTTCACAATGTGCTTGTACAGCATCTCTCATCAAAAAGGCTCCTACCTTACTTGAGTCAGCAAACATTACTGCAGCACAAATTAGCTAAAAGAGCCAAAGAGCTTAATAGCAAATTGTGACTAAAAACCCCCAAAATCTTACATGGTATGTGTTTGAGAACCTGTTATACTCAGAACAGCAATTTGAGTTAAATTGCTTTCCTTCTCAGTCACTCTTTTCTACTTGTTTATTTAGTAGGTTGCAAATCCAAAGGACAGGTCCTACTACTCATTACATCAGCATCATCAGTGTTTGATGATCATTCAAAAGCAACTAAAGTTTTAGAATGCAGCTTTCATTCAAATGATTTTCCTCTCTCTTCCACCTCTGTAAATCTCAATTTTGTATTTTGGTAGGAGGAGATCTCTGGCATGTGAATGACCTTTGTATAGGCTGAGAGAGAAAATAAATACTTCAGGTGCTTATTTCAAGAAGAATTAAGCAATTTAGGCCAACCTGCAATATTGACTGAAGGTACTTCCAAATAAATGAAATTACTCCTTTTTGTTCAGTCTGATTTTTTTGGTTTTGTATCTGGACTGAAAAGCCCAACACTTTCCCAGATGCTAAGATTTTATCATGTTATTTTACATCTGCTAGAAAAACAAAGGAGCTGAGAAGGTAACAATAAAAGCATAATGTGCATGATCTCAAGGTCCCTGCATAAATGCCATTACAAGAAATAAACATATTAGTTCCAGTTGCTCCTCATATTAACGAACAATAACAAGTTCATTTCTTGAAACAGAGAGAAATTCATGAGAATTTTTAATATTATTCCACATTATGTAAAAGAAAACAATACAAATGTGAAAAAGGTCTGCTGACACAGCACAGAAATGCAGTTAGAGTGTTAATCACAAAACAATGACCTGCATGATAGATACATTGAGTAATAAGAAATATAAAATACATATATATTACATACATTAATATAGTCAAAGAAAGCAACATAGATTGATGTATCACACAAATTCAAACTGCTGAAAAGTAAAGATGCCTTTGTACTCTGTATTTTACAAAGCACCTTCCCATTTATCTTAAAAATCTGAATACATATTTACTCCTTAGACCAAACAATCGATTATTTTTGAATAGGCATACAGTTTGCACACATTCACATCATAATTCATAGGTGCAGTCTGCAGATTTTTACTGAAGCAAGCTGTATCAGTGGGACACTACATGTTATTAAGAGTGTCCATTCAGTTAGTGGTTTTCTACTACACAGCTCCCAAGTTCATTATAAAACTGAAATTGAGGATCTTCTGAGGTATGTTTTAAAATGAACTAATAATAATAATAATAATAATAATAATAATAATAATAATAATAAAACAACTGCTTGAGCCATTGGCATAACTGATACATTCTTCAGTAGATACAAAAGAAGAAAGAAATATTTCTTTTTTATTTTTCTCTAACGTAGTGGAAAGGAAACCAGGCGTCTTTCCCGTGCTAAACATCCACATTCTCATTACCATGAGTAACAGCCAAAGCAAAGTAACATCCAGTAGCATTAGCAATAAGCCTCAGAATCACAGAACCATTTGCCTCTGACTTAATTAGTTTCTTCTGTAAGAATTAAATTGCATTTTCCTCACAGAAGAATGTCTTTCTGAATTTTATTGCAGTCTGATATTAGTATTCAAATCCAACAACCCCTCCTGGGCACAGCAGAATGATTCCTTTTATTTTAGCACAAGAAAACACAATGCAGCCTCCAAGTGTATATTTTCAGTGGGAGAGGGAAGATAGCTACAAATAAGCCAGAGAACAATACTGGAGTATTATATTCCATAAGAACGTTCATATTTAAGACAAACATAAAGGAAACTTGCTAAGGTACAGACACTACTCAAAGGTTCTGCTCTTTTGTTTTGCAGTTTTGTCCATCTGAGCAGCCATAGCTCACCTGTGAGTAGGGAGATGTGTTCAGGGGCATTCCTGGACCAGCCAGGCCAGCAAAGCCCCAGTAGGGGTTCCCAGCCTGCCTACCCCCAGGCCAGGGGACACTGGGGCCCAAAGACTGCACAGAGACCGAGTCTGAAGCAGTTGCATCTCCACCCCATCAACTGAACCATGGTTCCACCCTCTACTCCTTGGCATCTGACATTTGTAGTGTATTCTTCACACCACAAACCTTACTACACAACAGCTCAGAAATTATTTGACTGGGACTTGCCCCATACTGAATGCAATAACAAAACCTTGACATCTGCAATTTATGTCAACCCTTCTGTAGCTTCTTCCATGTGTAAAACTGGTTTGTTGTAACTTTCTGCAAGATATTTTCTGTTTATTACAACAGACAGGAAACATGAGACATTTGAACATTGAAATTGCACCTAGTATATTAAACCACCAGTTTTTCCTCATGAGCTGTCATCAAATATCTCTACTACTTTTTTAATTAGTCCTTCCTGATGAAATATATGCAGAACAGGACTCAAGATTAAAAAGGGTCACTAATTATCAATTTCTTCAGAAATCAAGTCCCCTAAAGTGCCTCTCCCAAGAAAACAGGACGTATAAATCCTGCTGCACCCACATTGCTGCCTATTAGTGTCTGTTCCAATGTAATTACTACCCTTTCTCAAACACAACTCCTACTTATTTGAAAGGGGAACTGGATACAACATCTCAGGGCAAAGTCCAGTAAAAGGAAGAATCCAAGAACTCATCGAAGAATGCATTAGCAAATAATAGGTTTGTACCCCTGTTATGGGCATGATCAGAAGACAAGCTAACCAAAGAAAACAGAAAATCTGCAAGAAAAGGGAACAAGCCTGACCCACAGAATAAGGTTGTTATAACAAAATGCTACCATGAGCACATAACTCAAGATGGTTTGGACCCAATTTTCAGGATGTATGGTATTGACCCAAGGAAAATCTGTCATTTAATGGTTGGCTGCCCACAGCATGCACAAGTGAATTACACCAATGCTTCAGTGCATTTGCTAAGTGCTTACACTGAGAAATCTGTTGGAATGCTTTTATTTGAATACGTGAATTAAAGGATTAATACAAGGCCAACAAAACAACAGCAAATCTAAAAATCAGGCTCCTGTGACATTAGGCAGACCAACTGGCAGTTCTCCAAGGCATGGGCCAGTTCTGGCAGCCCATAAACACCCAACCCTTCAGCTGTCATTGCCAGGTTTGGCTGTGAGGAATAAGGGCAACAGCCCTGAGGAGTTCCATTACAGCTGTCAACATGCAGATTCTAGACAGACTCATAAACTTGCCCAGTTCCACCTCCAGAAACAAAACACAGCATGAACTCTGAGAAGTTACTCTCAAAATATGTTGAAGATGAAAAACTGACATCTTTGTCACCACAAAACCCAGTGTCTACCCAGAAATGTTTGATATATAGGGTAACAGAAGGGAATTTCAGTACTCCCATCATCAAACTACCCCACTTCTAATCTGTTCAGCTAAATTCACTCAACAAATACAAGCTGTATGTTGACATTAAGACTGCTGTATTGCTAAACCTGGAAGTAATTTAGGGACTGCCTCTGTGAAACACAGGTATAACAGAAACCACTCTACGAATGTGGTCTAAATGCTAATGACAATTAAAGCAACAACTTTGTGCCTTCTGGGAGCAACCATTTCACTTTGCCATTATCCGCCACATTCCTTTTAATTTTTCACCTTTAGAATGTCTGAAAAAATGTTGTAATATAGAAAATTCATCAAAGAGCCAGGTCCCACATTCTACTGTTTTCAGGAAGTGTAGAACTAAGACACTTACTTCCTATTTCTCCAAGAAGTTTGTTATTTTACATAATGTTTCAGTCATACTATGTTTGGTCTGACATTTCCCCTACAGCAGCTTGTATTTGATATTTATAAACAGTGAAAAAGAACTGCTGCTTTCAAGAGGTTAAATGGTTGCAATCACAGCCCTTTTTTTCTAGCAGGAGGTAGGGAAATGCAGCCATTTCAAAAGCAGCAGTTTTGGGAATATTCGTAACACTGGGGTTGGAAGGGACCTCAGGAGGTCTCTAGTCCAACCTCAGGCTCAAAACAGGGTCAAAATTCAATTCCCATCATGTTGCTCAAAAGGGGCTTTTTGTAAATAAGCAAACAGTTTAACCTACTTGGCTACCATAAATAGTAGCATATATTTGATGTAATTGCTGATTATTTCAAAGCATAACTACAAGCCAAATTTTAGGTTGTTTAATTTTGAACTGTGCATTCCCAGATCAAGACATTTTTGAGTTCCTTGTAGGTTTATCTTTAGTTCTGAATACCCAAAGGTTTTAGTATTTATCTTGGAAAGGGTTTATATTCACCACTAACTGGTATCTGTTGCTATTCTTTTTATATGAACCTTACAAATAATATTTTCTTGAAGTATTTGTATGTATTTACACAAACACACAAGTAGAATCATAAAAATCATAAATAATAACAAAACACATAATAAAGCTTTAGTTTGATGTTATAGTTGAAACATATGCATGTAACTATGCCAGATATAGTTAGACTGCACTACATTAGAGTCTCTGAGAAATGTTTCCTTTTGAATAGTGGCCACTGAGTATTTAGAGCCAGGAGGACCCATTAAGTGCAAGAACTCCAGAGGAATTTAGACCCAAGGACTCAGACCCTTCATACCCTCTGAAATGTGCAATGTTATGGGCATTAACTAGGATATATGACAGTCTCCAAGATTTCTGCTTTAGTAGACAATTCAAAGGGGGTTTTGTGATGTCAAAGTAATTAACATGCAGTCTGTTTTCATAATTGCTCAGTTGTGAAAATCTGAAGTATAGTACCGAACTTTGAAGAACTGAACTTGGGCAAACCAAAAGGCAGCACAGCAACTGTGGAGAACCTTAGATTCACCTAAACCCAACTTGGTTTATCATACTTCCAGTTTGTCAAATAAGACTGTGATGAAAGGCTAAAAGACATTTTTGGAATGTTATTCTATCATTTGTTTTAAAAATTCATGTGTTTACAAGCTGTTAATGTATTTAAAGATCCACTGTGTTAAGCTTTCAGCAATACTTAAGAGGATGCAATTAAGCTTGCACTCAATTTTAATTTAAGTTTGGCAGATTTATAACTTTTTAAATTGTTATTATGCTGCCTGTTTACTCATGAATTTGCTGAGGGTGCCACAGAAAATACTGAGGCAAGTATTCTAGTAATTATTCTAATTATACTAGTTTTTATTTTATAGATAGAATAAATATTACCGTGAATTTCTTGTTGTAGTTATTTAAAGTTGTCTTCCTCTGGCATGAATACTGAGATATTTTTGTTGCAATAAATGCTGGCATTTCCAATTCAGGTGTATTCAGAGGAGGAGATTGGGATTGCTCCTAACAAGGGTAAAAAAAAATAATAGTTAGTGACACACATGGCAAATAGCTTAAAATTTTAAAAAAGTACATTTCATGAGCCCAAAACACAAACCATTGAAGACCAGACAAGAAAATAATAATGCTCCTGTCATCCTGCTATGAAAAACAGGTGATTTCACATTGGCTGGACTGACAGTACAGTTTATCTGGTGATTACTGGGATTTTTGCTTTTCTGCAGTAAGTTCTTGCAGGGAGTTTTCAATGGCACTGTCATTTTAAAAAAAAGTTCTTTCTAAATGATCTGTGTCTCTACTACTCTCACTACCACAGTAAGTTTGAAAAACTACAAAACTTTAAGAGCAGATAAGCTCTAAAACACAGAGTTTTCACAGAAAACACTAGATTATTCAATACAAGATTAGGGATATTAGACCAAAGGGAAATGTTCTATTGACTTTTTCTGTCTGTAGATAAATTCAGTAGCGGGGGGAAAATTTTTGTATGAATTGGAAATCAAGTTTTCTTCCCTCTTGCAGGTAAAATGATAGAAAACTTTTTCTTTTGGATTTAATTCATCCAGCTAAGTGTTTAATTTTGGAGTCATTTTAGAGTGAAGGAAGCATTTATAAACAGCTACAGAAGAGTGATCACCATCCTTTATTCACTCAACAGCCAGCTGGTAATGTGGTTGCTCCCTTAGCCAATTCTCATAGATGCTGATCCAATCCAGGCATCATTTTTACACATTCACCAAAGCAGGGAAAAGGAGAATGGGCATCCAAGACTTGAAAGGGCATTTCCCAATCTCCAGGCTGCCTCCATGCTCATTCACTTTTCACCTAATTTTGCTCCATGCAAAATAGACCAAGGTCGTACAGGTCTGTGGGCAACCCACCCCTGAAAGATGGGAATTCTCCTGAAAGGCAGGATTCAGAGTCATATCCCCACTGGCAAAAGAGAGTACAAGTCCTCAACATGTGAATGTCCTGACTAGGAGGCACCTAGAAAAAGGCAAACTCACACTGGTTTTCTGCTGCTTCAAATCTTATAATATCCAGTCCTTCAAATCTTTCACTTTCTTTAATGTGCCAAAATCTGAAATACTTCAGAAACATGCAGAACCTTCAGCAGTCCCCTGTATTTTTTGGTCTTGGTCCTTTTGCTGGAAAATTTTTGGCAGATGTGTCAAAAACTTATTCCATTGCACTATCCAAAAACTTATTCCATTGCACTTCCCCCACAGGGAAAGGGTTCAACAATTACAATAAAAAATGTCATGAAAATACATAAAAGAATTTTCACACCAAAAATGGAATAATAAGCCCTTTTTTCCCTCTATCCGATCACACAAAGGCTAGCAAACCTACAAGCATGTGTGTATCTTCATAACCACACCCCCAATTAGCATTTCATGCTAAATTGCCTTTGTATTTGATAAAAAAAGTTAAATAACAGTATTCACACACACACACAAAAAGGTATTTGCTTGCACAACTGAAGGAGCAGTGAATTATATGGTGGTTTTCATAGCATGCCCTGAAAGGAAGAAAGCAATTTTAAGTCTAAAACCAGTCTTGGGAATAACCAAAATGGGTTTCAGTCAGGACAGCAACACAACTCATCCATTTCTGCACACATTCATGAATTATATTTTAAAATTGATTTTAAATCATATAAACTATGATTGATTAGTGCTAATATACTGCTTGAAATGATAGTGCCAGCTGCAAAGACTGTGAACAAACAGAATGTTCCTGAATAGAATATAAAATAAGCTGTTACCTTCTCTAGGACACACACACACAAAGAACAAGAGCCCTACATGCAGCATCAGCTGCTACTGTGGAGGAGGGCAAAACTAACACAGAAAATCTGTGCATTTAAGAGTGTGATAGACTGGACTCAAACATCCTATTCCTGCCTTAGTAGAGATATTTGAGCATTTTCCTTAATCAGTAAGAGTTATACATTTAGTTAACTGGTCTTGATTCTTTATAAGAACAGAAGAAATTCTGGATAGAAATGAACAGGAAAAACATCTGGCAAACAATGATTACTACAGTCTGATGTGCAGGGAATATTATAATGCCTGCATGGGAACTACAGAAATGATCTATCAGCAGCAGAACATGAGCTGAATTGATACTGCTCAAATTGATATTTGGTGGGAAAACTAGATGGGAAAAAAATTGTTTGGACAGATTACAGGATAAACCTAAACTTTCATCAAGAGCAATTACAGTGCAGAACAAGGAATCCTGGAAACTCATTAGACCAAAAATAATTTCTAGTACTGGGAAGAAACAACTAAAGATAAGAGAAAAATGGAAAAATATAAGCATTAAAAATTCCTTTTCTTTTTAGAAAACCCTACATTAGAATGAATTTGCAGTACACTGCACAGGGGCAACCACTGAAAAATACCTAAATGTGTAGGCTACTTAATCACTAGAGCTAGTCAGAGTTTCTACCCCACATCCAGGCTGCAGTGAATGTCACTTGCTATTCTTTCACAGTGACATTTTCCACATGGCATAAGCAGGAGAAACAGCCTTTACCACTAGCATCAATTTGTAAAGCAGACAGACTTGGTTGCAGAATTAATATTGTGGGGGACTACTTTCTCTTTGTCAAATTATTTTTTAACACACCAAGAAGTTTAATGACACAGGGAAATAACAGGGAGAAAATGAAGCGGCAGTGAATGAAGTGCACAGAGACAAGCAGCCAGCAGCTCGGCAAAGCCCAGGCAGCATTGACCAAATAATAAAGTCCTCTGATATCCAGCATTTTATGAAGAGAAGGCAGACAGTTTATAAGTTTCATTTTTATTTCCTGAGAAACTCAGACTGTCAGGATGAAGGATTTCTTCCATTACTTACAGCCTCTCTCTTTCACAATGAAACAGAGTGAGATGCTTCAGAAAATGTTAAATATGCTTCCTGACACATGATAAGACAAAAGATCAAAAGATGGTACTTTCTTTCCCTAACGTGGAGAAAAATCCTTTCTTCAAATAAATAAATCTCTTTTCCTTTCTAGAAAAAAACAAACAAACAAAACCAAACAAACAAAAACTAATTAGCTAACAACTTCTGGGTTCTGACTGAGGAAAAGGCAGAAGAGATGCAGTTACAGCACAGTTCTTGAGGCTGCTGAGTGTGCAGCAACCCTTAAGGATCTCTTCCTCTCTTTTTACCTCTCTGAACACCTCCCCTCTGCCTCTTTCTCTTCCATAACCCAGGAAGCATCAGTAGTTTCTGGCATGTGGAGATGCCCTTATGCACCCATTAATGTCCATGTCCTGCTATTGTCAAGGATATCCTCCTGCTTGTGCTAGGAAAGGTGTCTCTGCACGAGGGCTGACCTTTGTCACAGAAATATTCTGCTTCCCTTTCAAGGCAGATATTTGGCTACCATATTTCCAAAGCTTATTAAACTAAATGATGGCTACTAACCCTAAAAGTCAACTGTGACTGAATGAATCAATAATAATTCTGTCCATCTTAAATCTGGTCAACCAACCTTTCATTCTCTATAAATCACTGACATCAGAGCATCTCTTGGATCATCACCACCACAGAAAGATGTACTTTAATGACAATTGTAATTAGGATGTTAGCTAATGGTCTGTAACTCTGACTTTATTCCCCTTGTTTTGCATGAAGAAGGGCATTTCTTGTTACTAATGCAGTAAAACAAATGTCCTGAATGAGGAGTAACCTTCCAAATAGGAAGGATTCCAAATACTGTAGGATCTGAAAGACAAAATCTTACTGCTATTGATATTAATGGGAATTTGACCACAAAACTACATGGGGACAAGATTTCACCCAAAACATTCCCCCACTGCAATCCATTCCTTTTACTTCAAAACCTTAATGATCTAGCTTGAGTTCAAGGTTTGTTAATTCACTTTCATTTCACATTTTACAAGTCTGACATAACGAACCAAATTTGTCTTCAGTGAAATTCCAATTAAATTACATTATGTATGAGTTCGGTCTAGTACTTAAAAAGAAAATTAACCTTTACTTCAATCTTCCCTCATTTCTTAAGGCAGAAAAAAGAATTAGCATGGTGACACTGCAACAATAAAATTATCTTAAAATTTGCTACACTCCTAGAATTCTTCTTTTCTCCTTGTTTTCTTTACAAAATGTTTATTACTTCAGAGCAACTATATAATTAAGATTGGTTTTATAAGCTTTAAAAATACCAGTATAGCTGTCACTGGCTTCCTTATTGTGCTCTACATTTATTAGCATGAAATCTTTATGTTTCAATAAAAACATAAGCTTTTACTTGCAGAGCCAGTCTCACAGTATAATTATGATCTCCTTTTTCAGAAGTTAATGCTCCACCAATATTCCAAAAGGAGTTTTATATAAAACTAAGGCAGTTTCATTGACTTAAAAAGACTTCTTGTTGACCTAAAAAAAAATTGGAGGAATTTTGGAGGAAAACAAAGGTGTTTCTAGACTTGAAAAGGAAATCAAATTATAAAATCACATTTTCTGAGCTATCTGAATCTATAGGTGTGCTCATATTGCCAAAATTAAGAATGCACATAAAAGGTAATTTGTTTTACTTTTAATGCTGATGGGAAACTCTCAGGAAGGCTCACAGGATTTTGTTCATGATTTTGATGCATTACTTTTTAGAGAACTTCTCTGCATTCCCTGTATTTATATTTTTGTGGCCTGTAACATAAAATAAAGCAGAAGTTACAAGGCTTCCTTTTGTATTTTTTTCTTTTTGTATTAATTTCCTTTGTCTATTCTCCCTCCAGCAGATTCACTGAAAAATGTTATAAATTTATTGCAAAAATATATCCTTGGAAGGATTTCAAATATAAACACACATTCTGTCATGGAATCATGCTGAGCCTGAGAGCGACAGCTCCATCTGGTGTATTCACTTCCCCCTCCCCCCAACCCAAACTGTTATTAAACAGTAATTCTTGTATGTAAAAACCTGGAAAATATTTTCTGGCAAGAAAAATGCAATATGAGTGGGAAAAAAAATAATCAGCTACAGTTTTTTTTCTTGGGAAAGGATGGTATTTATGAATCATCCTTCATAATCTAAATACCAAAATGATGAAGCAGCAAACAGAGCAATGTTGCTGTTTAATATTCAGGCATTCTGTGCCTCAGAGGAGGGCACATGCTGCACATCCTTCCCTGGTCCCAGTGTGGTCACACAGAACCTAATCCAGACCCTCAGGAATCAGCAGGAATCCTTCACTTTAGAGAGCTTCAGAGCAGACTTGTAGTTCTCTTCACATACAAATAAATTTCTTTGCTGGTGCACATGAAACCCATCACCATGAGGCTCGGGTGGGTGCAGAAGGAGGGGACAGCTCCATTCCAGCTGCACTGCTGGGTCTATTTCATGGCTCAGTGGCACAAGCTGGGCACAGCACACCTGGCATCCCCACCAATCCCCCACCACTCAGAGTCTGTGCCAAGATATTGAGTACCACTGCTCCTGACTATGCTCCAATCTGAGAAATTAGCAGGTAATTCATCAGATATAGATCAGAGGAAAACATCATTATCCATTGCTTCAAGGTCAAACACCATGCAGCAAATCATCAACCAGCCATTTTCAACATCCTCTGACTAACAGCTTCCATTGAGAGGTAACAGAATATAATAAAACTTAGCACAATTACTTGATGGTGCCAAGTCTGTAAACACATGTCCACAGACTACATCAGTCTTCTTTTCACAGGTCCTTCAAGGGCCCAGCTGTTACCTGATCACCCTGCAACAGTAAAAGTTGTAATGTTTTTGCATTGTTTGCCTCATTGATGGATATTGCAGAGGAGTTGGGGCTGTTCAGCCCCTTAAGGCTTCAGGAAGGCCTAACAGCAGCCTTCCAGTCATTTAAGGGGCTGCTAGAGAGCTGGAGAGAGAATTTCTTACAAAGAAACAGTGACAAGACAGGGTGTAATGGCTTTACACTGGCAGAGGAGAAATTTTGAATCAGAATACAGAAATTCTTTTCTGTGAGGGTGTTGAGGCACTAGAACAGGTTGTCCAGAGAAGCTGTGGCTGGCCTGGAAGTGTTCAAGGCCAGGTTGAATGGGACTTTGAGCAACCTGATCTAGTGGAAGGCATCCCTGTCCATGGCAAGGAAGTGGGAGCTGGATGATCTCTAAAGTCCCTTTCAGCCCAAACCATTCTGTAATTCTGTATTTACCAGTTTATACCCTGTGATGAAACAGTAATAACCAGACACTGATAAAGAAGGCACAGAAAGTGCTTCTACTCTATTGAATCTGTGTGAATTACTCATAAATTTCACAGAAAAAAATAAATTAAAAATAATAACACAATTATATCTGTATCCAGTTAAAAAATAAATACGATCACAGCCATTCATTCTGGCTATCACTGCACTCACACTGCAGGATCTGTCTTACCATGAGACGATACTTCACTTCTGAATCAACTGGTCTTCCTGCCTCCATGCAGGCTGTGAACCAGGAGATGTCCAGCAGCTCAAACCTAGAGCTGTCACCCACAGCCTGTCCCTTCAGCCAGTCCAGCACCTCCAGGTAAGAGTTGTTCTCAGCCACAATATGAGTGACTGAATCACTGTCAAGAAGTACACAAAAAGTTTTCTTTTTTTTTTTCACTGAATCAACTGTACACAGATACAAAGATGTTATTTCTGTATTTACTTACCATCCACTTCCTGACAATTGTAGTGTATATTGTACTTTAGGATGTGGGAAGCACTGAAGTTTTCATATCACCATATATTTATTCTAGTCACTGACTCTGCCTTGAGGAAAGACTGTAGTCTGACAGCTTCTGTAAGTGCAGCATTTTCTTTCTTGAAGGATCATTTACCTTCCATAGACACTAACCTAATACACATTCTTTGCAATTCTGAAAATATTTTGCTTACACAAGCAGTACCTTAATTAAAAGGCTGCTTGACAATACCTCTTGACAAGAGGTTGTTTGACAGCCTCTTCCAAATATTCCTCATCAACGAGTTAAAGCTTTGCAACATTAAGAAGTCAGTTAAGAATAATTATTTAAAACTTTACAGCCAGTAATATCTATTAGGATACTGAAGTTTTCTGTACTTGTATGAAGCTGTTTATTACATATGGCACTGCCAAATATTCATGAATTAAATCGTATGAACTACATGCTCCATATAAAGGCCATTTCCTTGCTGCTAAGTCAGTACAACAAAACTGATGGATTAGTGAATACAAAATTTACAGCTTGAATTGTTATTCAATACATTATATGGTGTACATTGCCTAAAAATACAATAGCACAAATGCTATTGCAGTAAATTTCAGTTGTTGTACAAGAACAACATTGGAAAGGATCACCTGATTAAAAGGTGATCCTTTTAAAGATTAAAAAGAGACACTTCTGTACCCATCACAGAAAAATAATGGACAGGGACAAAGCTTTGTTTCAAGAAAAGAGTACATGCATACTTAGGATGATCTGTAAGTTTCTGTCTGGCCTGCTGATGTTTCTCAGCAAGTTGGAAAAAATACAGATTTGGTAGGAAATTTTGAATGATTCTGAGTGCTCCTGCTCCCTATGCATCCCACAAGGGTGCTGTCACCCCCACAAAAAAACATGAGAGAAAGGAGAAAATTCTTCATTTCCATCAACTTGTAGAATTAAGTATCTAGAAAATATAGCCCAACATTCATTTCTATCAGGCAATAGATTCCTAAACTCCTTGCAGGAAAGGCACAGACAGGCAGTGTCACTATTTGACACTATTTTTACAAAAGGAAGCTAGAGATGGAACATAAATTGTCTTAATGGCAGCCAAATCCCCATTTGGAAGTCTGTGACTTTCTGGTAGCCCATGATGGTGACAGCCTTCTGCATATACAGTAAATTTCCAATGGAGGAGCTGCCAGATTGCTCTGCAAGCCCTCTGCAAGAGCTGGAGAAGTGGAGCCATCAGCCTGTCAAAGCAGAGAGGACACCACTGGTGGCAATCACTGGTTAGCATGGACTTCAAAACATGCTCCTGTTAAAGGCAGACTGCACACTTCAAAGCAAATTACCTTCAAGAAAACCAAGAAAATCCCTTGGCCCATCTCTGTGATCCTTATTCAAATGAGTGATCACCAGTTTCATTAAGTCATGAAATCACAATGACAAATACTGGAATTGCTCCATAAAAAATTGTTACCAAATAACTCTCCAATGCAATAAACATACTGTATTTTGGAACTATAAGAAAGGTACTGAAAGGACTGTACTTCAGAAATGTGTGTCATGCTATAGCACAATTTTTTTTCTCTCCATGTAGTGGAACTTGGAGAGCAGAGTCCATCGAAAAAGAATGAATCACATTTTTTTTCTAAAAGATTACAAACACAGATTAAGTGAATCCCCATGAAACACTGTTGGGTTTATTATTATTTAACCCTGCTAGGTCCTACTTTAATTAAACTGTCACATCTTTATATCTGAGTTAAAAAACCCAAACAGTTAGAGACATAGAACTTCTGCTTCCTGTGGTTTATTTCACTTCATATAAAATATTCATATGTCATGTATTTGTACCAAGCTGCAGAGCTGGGAACTTTGCCATAACTATGCACACAGCAGCAGTTTAGCTGCTGTGCTCCAGTTTCCTCTCATACCAGTACAGCTGTGCTATTTTCTTGGCACAGAACATAACAAATTTAACATTTCCTCTGTCATTTTCAAAAGCAAAAATCAACAGTTAAATAGTTTTGTTTTATCCAGTAGCAGCTACGCTGAAATTAAACATAACACCTGCCTCATAAAACTTACAGGAAGTCTAAATATTGGCAATAAATACCCATGTGTCAAAGCAGCCCAGATAAAGCATTTACTCTACAGATTATTAACGTAGGGTCCAGAACAGCACTCTTCATTTCTTTTTCCCCAAGAACTCAATTAGTTTTGTATCAGATGCTAATTGCTTACTTCTGTTCAATACCTGCTTTAATCTTGCTTTATAAATTATTTTACCCTCCCTTCTTCCTCAGACTATCAAAGTTGATGGGGTTGAAAAGAAGACTGTAGAAATACACTTTTGCAGGGTTGTACACTCCAGAGACAGACCCAGAGATGTGATCAATACTTGGTTTTCCTCCAGCTTTTCAGAGAACCTATACAATGATGCAGCTTTTGGAAAACTGCATAATGACATAACCAGCATTTATGTAAAGCCCTGTTTGGAGGAAGGCTTCCTTCTGAATGAGCTGGTTTGCTGAAACCAGACAAACCTGAATCTGGAGTGTGTTTCCACTCTCAAATGCCACATCTGTGGTATTTTACTCCTAAGATTTTTCTCCAGTGCTCTTCCAGATTGTACCAAAGCAAAAGCCATAATTTTGAGACCCATATTAGGGTAAAAAAGTTAAATACTATAATACCAGAGATGATGTAGACAAATGTCCCCCTCAACCCATCACATTTCCATTCCTGTACATTTAACCTTTTTCGTTTTCAAAATTGGCCATTAAATTTAGCTTAATCTTAACCTGACTTCAAAGAGGAAATAAACAATGAGTGATTCAGATGAGCTAAAGACACAATTTATATGCAGACCCATGAAAATTGACAGATCTAAGATAAATTAGAAATGCACATTTTAAAAGTGAAAAATTAGAAATTTTGCTAAGTTTTGTGCTTTCCCTGCTTTCTGACCAGAAGATAATTGAAATAAACCACATACTAGGAAAACCCACTGAACTCTTGAAACGTATTTATAATGGAAAGAGCCAAGTATACCTACCAAAAACATAGGCAAAAGCTTCAATCACAGTCACTTGTATGACTATATTGAATTAAAATGCTTCAAACAGCATTACTACATGTTATTTCAAAACATATAAACATTTTCCTACCTTAGCTCACTTTCTACTCTGAAACCTTTTCTTCTTCCCAGTTCCATCAAAAACATCCTTCTGGTCAGCCCCATCTTCCTCTGCATAATAAAAATGACAAAGTCACTGAACTTTATTTCATAACTGCAGGAAAGTTTTGGGGAATGCAACCCTTTCTGTCTCTTCCTCTGGGAGATTACAGCTGGAGCTTTGAACCTATCCATGATGCAAGGTAGAAATGCTCTCACTTGGGTAAAATAGAGCTAACATGCTTTCTGCCAGGCAACAGCTGTATTTAATGTCACCACCCATTGAAGTAATTTTCTTGTTTCCCCTCTGAAATCAAAACCAGGTGCTACACAAGCAGAAACATCACTGGCTCTCTGCCAGCTGGGACTTCTTCAACAGAAATACTCCAGACAGGTACAAAAATTATTTCATTCCTTAAAACAGCCATTGCCTACAAAGATTATACAGATAAAATTGATCAGCCAAATCATCTCAAGACTTCAACCAGGTCTCCAGCTGATTGAATGGCTCAGTTCCACCTTTTTGCATTTAAGCACCCAGTGACCTGCAAACAGCTACAGAGGAGATTATGGAGGCCATTCACATTCCTCCTCTGGAGGAGGGGGTACTGCTCATTGCAGAACTACACCAAAGTTTTTGCCAGTGTCATGTTGGATGCAGCTCTGTATCTCCCTGGATTTCTATTACAGCAAGGCGAGCACAATGAAGCAGGTTTACAGCCTGTGCATCTACTTCAGCACAAATCTACTTCAGCGGTGAATGCCCCTATTCCCATGTCAAGCTGGATTTTTATTTTTAACATAGCAGACAATTTGGATTGTACCAGTCCCTCACAACACATCAGAAATGTTATGTTACAGTTCTCATTGCTCATGTTCTCATGGGGAAGCAAGGTGGAAAAATTCCTAAGTCAGATCCATCAATTATATTTTCAGTTCTTTTATCACAGGTGGATATACAAGCTGAGTTTCAGGAAAATTAGTCAAAACCCACTTCCTGCAATTATGGCCCTGAGTTTAAAATTAAATTGTAAAAGTATTGCACACATTTTCTGAGCCCTATAGCTCTTACTGCTTCAACAGTATTATTGCAGATATAAAGAAATACTTTTCATCCAAATAGAAACTAACCATCCAAAAATTAATATAGAGCTTTCAGCTCTGGGGTCTTCCTGAGGCCATGAAAAAAATATATACATAGTGCAGTATATAGATTAGACTGGATTCATTTCTTCCCTTGCCTAGGGATAACCCAGAAGCCAAAATATCTATTCCTCTTTTGGATTTATAACATTAAAATTGTCAAAATAAATCATTTGAAGGTTATTTTAAAATTATATGAGATATTTTCATAGGACCTGGAAAATGGACAAGCTGACTTTAAGAGGCTTAAGCAAAAGAATAGCAGCAAGGAAGCAAAAAAAAAAAAAAAAAGGAATGGATCTGGCATTAAGGCTGAGCAATCTGTTTTGGTTGTTCCATGTCTTTTTTCCAGACTACTAATCAACCATTGAACATTGGTCACTTCCCTGTTTATAGCTTTCCTAGACTCGGTAAAACACTTTTTCTCAATCCCTACAAGGAATAATGTATTGGAGAACAGATTCTTTACATATGTTAAACAAAGTTTTATTTTATGTTATAATTAATTCAGTGCCCTAAAACATGTAAATATAATTTTCCCCAGCGTAACATCAATATGCTCAGTGCCAGTAAAATCCTTCTGGCTTGAATAACAAGTTTTTATTCCTTTGTGTTACTGTTATAACTCTTAAGCCAGATTTTCAAGGGTATTTAGGTGCCAAAAAGCTGCCAACAGAGACCTAGTGGGATTTTCAAAATATCTAAGCAACCTAAGCATTCAGCTCCTTTGGAAATCAATTTCTGGCTTTGAACCTAATGCAAAGAGATTTTCTCTAATAAACACAGTATAATATGAAAAAGTCTCTGCCAATGATGCAATTTTACTAAATGCACCTTCTAAAATTAACAGGATTTCCATATCCCAGATGAGTGAATTACTTACTCTCCTACAATATTATATCATAATATTTTTGACAGTACCACAGAAAGCAGAACATGCATCAGAGAGAAGGCAAATACAACAGAGAAAAGGCATGTCCTTATTTATGACAAAGGAAAAGTATACTTCTACCTGAGCCATGGCACCACATATGATTCATGGCCTAAAACCACTGAAACTTGCAGAAATTTTCCATCTCATTACAGCCTCATGGAGTTCAGAGTATTTCACATTCCTTGAGGGAAATCTGAACAAACTTTTATGTTCTTGCTACGGATCACTGTTGAACATTATCAAAGGCAAAGATTAAGAATTCGACACAAATACTGATGGCCATTTAAGCAAACATTTTTCATCACTTGTGATGTGGGTGCCAACAACAGCATTCCAGACTCCTCTGAGGAGCAGAGTACTGATCAGCTTCAAAGGGAGATTCTTTGAGAGGAAAAGTGCTGCAAAGTACAGCTCCTCTGAATTTCAGTATTCACGTTTTTACTGCACATTCTTGATTATTGTCAGTCTTTCAGTACCCTGATATCATGTGAGCTGCATTGTAAATATTTTATAAAGTAGTACTTGTCCATTCATGTCGCTTTCACGAAAATTGTGAAATTTTCTTTTAATACATAGCTACAATCTGCTAACCTTCAGAGAAAACATCTCTCAAATACCAACAGTAAAAATCAGAGAAGTGATTGGATGCTTTCTTATTTTGCATAGGCTTACCAGCATCTCATGCAGTATTGTTACACAATGATTAATTTTCCCTAGCTTTTTCATTTAGTAATTTTTCTTCAGTAATTCAGTATTTTCCAATGAACCAATTCATGGAATTTTTTTAATACTTCTCATGTTTGTTTTTGTCAAGATATTCCCATTACTATTCTTCTGTTTGAATTCTGGCTTTCTTGGCTGCCAAGCATTTCCTTTGTCGTTTATACCCATTATACCAATCTTTCAGTGCCTAAAAACCATACAGCAGGTGTTTTTTCCTGTTTTAAAAATTAATTCTCCCACATTCCTTTTTATAGTCTCAAGCTGCAGCTGGGGAGATTCAGGTTAGACATTAGGAGGAATTTCTTCACAGAAAGGGTGATTAGGCACAGGAATGAGGGCACAGGGAGGTGGTAGAGTCACCATCCCTGGAGGTGTTTAAGGAAACACTGGATGTGGCACTTGGTTGACAAGGTGGTGTTCAGTCAAAGGTGGGACTCAGAGGTGTTTTCCAGCCTAACTGATTCTGTGATGTTTTTATTCTTTGAACCACTAGAATATTTTTAGGGGGCAGTTCTGAGCTATAGGTGCTGGAATTATTCCCATCAAAGGTGATAAACTCCATAAGAAGTCATGTGACCAAGAATGTCAAAAAAACTTATTAAATGGTGGTATGCTTTGCATGTGCTTGCTTGGCTGTATGATGCTATTTGGCATATAAAGTAAAGTAGACTTAGAGAGGATACAAAATTCTGCAGCTGTTGTCATCAAATGTACAATATTTCTGATATATATGGTCAAAAGAGCTGGTTATCTTTTTTTTTTTTGCTACCTAATTAAAAATGAAAATCTGAATAAAAAGAATTTATTTGGCAACATCTCTCAAATCATACCAAGAGCTAACAGCTTGTTTAATTTACTGCATACACAGGTATTCTATCTGAGCCCTTTCTGAAGAAACTAGGGAACAGCAATATCATAGCTCTGAATAATTAAATAGAGCAATAGGGTTCTCCCTTACAGCATAGAGAAAAAGTAATTGGTGACAAATCCTGGCAGGAGCTGTTTCCTACTCACATCAATATTCCTATATTCCCTGGAAACTATTATTTTCACTCATCCTTCAGTCTCTCTGTTCAGTAACAAGGTTTACAATTGTTCTCTTTAGTTACTCTGCCTATGGTAGCTGCTTCTCCTTGTTGTGATTGTTATTGGACTATTCTTTGATTTTTGTGCTGGTACATCAATGGTTTTCTTTATACTTTAGTCTCATGAGAGCCTTGTGAACTTTTAGCAACAAGCAGAGACATATCTGCATAATCCCATCACTATACATGGCCAGACAGATCCTTTGACAGTTACACATCTCTTCCAAGCATAGTTTACAAAGGTAAATCTGCCTGGATTTTGAGCAGCATTTAGCTGGTCCCATTTATCTCACTGCTAGTATTAAAGATATTTCCATTAGCTAAGAAATACCAAGCAATCTTCCAGAGATGAGGCACTACACAAACAGGGCTGAACAGTCTAAATTTAGGCAGCTGTAAATGTTACTTATCTCAGCAATGACTCAATAATATTTCTGTGGACATTTCAAAAACTTCTTATATAACCATATAATAATAGAAATAAACATTGTTAAATTATAATAAAATTATAACACTGTTATAATAACAACTCCTATAATTCTTTATCTATAAAGAATATTTATGTCCTTTTCTGCTCCTCTAGTAGGACACTGCAAATAAAACACATATATTGCTAATTTATCTTCTTTTAATTAGTTGTTGTAACAGTTACTAGGTGGTAGAATTGATGCACCTTGCAGTGACACTGCAGCATTTCCAAACCTACTTACATTACAGAACATACAAACAGCAGTATGTGTGAGATTTATGCCTTCTATATTTACAGGTAGTAAAGCATGATGCATTTAATAAAAATAGATGTACCTAAGCCAAAGTAATGAAAACTGGGAAAAGGCTATTGCCATTATTCACAGAAATCTTTCAACTATAGGTTCAATTTTTAGTAGTACAGGAAAGCTCCCACACCATCAAGCTGAGGAGATAATGTGATCAATTAATATAAAAGAGAGAAGTAAGTAAGAATAAGTACCATAGATAATGTTGTTGCAAAGGGAAGAAAAACTTATGAATAATATTATACAAAATGCCCCCTTCTTAAGAGTTTATGCAAGTCAAACCAAGATAAAATTTGGCTCTTGAGCAAAAGCAACAGGTAACACCTAACAGAACAGTGAGTCCTGACAGAGCTCCTTCCGCACACTGCACTGAAATAAGCTGCAGGAAAAAGAGCCAGCATCAGAGAAGCTGAAGGAATTGCTGATGAGGATTAGACACATCTTTGTGTTATCTACAGAGAGAAAACAAAGCAGATGTTCATCCAAGTGATGTGTTGTGAATTTTGCAGGTGAAGGAAAAATCAATTAGAAGCC